TTGCTTTTGAATAAAAATTGACTGATCACAGGATAGCTTAATTATTGAAATTAATGAATCATTATTTTAAAATTATTATTTAGCTTTACCAATTCATCTATTTATTCAATTTTATTTATTATTTATTCAGTGGACGTGAGTATGTGTATTTAATTTTTAACAATATATTTTAAATTGTTTTTATTCATTAACTTATTTATTAATCTATTATTATTTAACTTAGATTTTATTAATTGTATATTTTAACTTGTTCTAAATTGTTAACTTATTTATTAATCTTTTATTGTTTAATTCAGATTATATTAATTGTATATTTTAATTTGCTTTTAAGAAATTGTTTTTATAGATTTTAAATTTTTACAATAGTTTATTTTAATTTAATTTTAAGCAGTAGATTCTATAGATTTTAACTCCATTTTATATTTTAGCTTAGTCTTAAGATAGATTTTAACTTATTGATTAATTTTTTATCTTGGATTCTATTGATTTTATATTTTAACTTATTCTTAAGCAATTAATTTTATAGATTTTAAATTCTTTTAGCCTATATTTATTTTACATTTTAACTCTTTTAATTATTTGATATTAATCTGATATTTAAGTGTGTATGTTGGCATATATGCATGTCTCTCCTGTTTAGTTTTTATTTATTTATATACAGGTTCACACTACTTTAAATAATTTGTTTTAATCATGCGTGTAGTACACAAGGTCTCGAATAAAGAGATTGGATTCTGAGTGGACCTAAGAACAATGAATGAAATAGAGATTGGCCAGAGAGTATGGGTTCGGAGAACTGGAGGACCTGCTCAGGAGGCTGTTGTTGCCGCGGGAGGTGGCGAAAAGAAATATGTAAAAGTCGAATGGCCAGACACAGAAGGTGTACTATTGGGAAAGACAGTTTTGATAGATGATGTCTTTCCAGCATTGCCAAATGTTCCACAGAATGTCGCGGAGGCGAAGGCAGGAGGAAGAAGTTCTACGCCCTGATAATAAAGTTTGTCCCATATGTGGGCTTTCTTTTAAGGGTGAAAGAGGTCTTGGAACCCATATTGCAAAAAAACACCCCAGGGAGGCTAACACCAATATTCTGAGGGGCATAGTGAAAAATGCTATAGGTCCTAAAAATGGAGAGGGTGAGGTATCAAAAATAAAAGAGGACATTATTGGATGGTCTAATGTGTTCAAGAACCTCTCAAAAGAAAACACGGTAAATATTGCGGATTTTGATGAGGCCGTAGGCAGGTTTCTGAAATTTCTCAAGAATATCAATGCGGAACTGCCAGGTCCCCAGCACCCAGCCGTCAAATTCTACAGACTGAGAAAAAAAATACAGCGAAAGTGGATGACAAAGGTGCTGGAGAAGTCTCAAATCCGCAAAAAAGGTTATGCAAACTGTTATGAATGCCGACGCTCCTAAGCGGTGTCCTCTAAACATGGCTGATATCGAAAAACATTATAAAGACCTCTTTGACGGCGAAAATCTCTGCGGGCCTGCGGATTACGAGCAGTGTGCCCCGATGCCAAATTTGGTGTCCATTCATCTAGAAGCCGTCAAGAAAGCCATTAAATCAACATCTATGGACACATCGCCGGGGACTGATGTAGTTCTAATCCGCACGATTAAATATTTTGATGTAACGAATATTATCAAAACAATTGCAGAGATAATGCTGAAGGTGGCCTATATCCCAGAACCACCTCGGCAAGGGCGCACAATATTAATACATAAGGAGAAAAGTGATGTAAACAATATCTCTACCTGGAGACCCATCACCACTTATTCTATTGTGCCCCGAATCGTAGAGAAGGTTCTGGACCACGAACTAAGAAAGTAGGTCACCTTCCACAGTGATCAGAGACGCTTCATTAAAGGCTTCCCGAGAACGCAAGTCAACGTAAGGATTATCGACGCTATATTAAAAGATGCAAAAGTTATGAAAAATGATTGTGCGGTAGTCTTCCTTGACGTTGTCGGTGCTTTTGACAATGTTGGGCTTTACAATATTATAATAAATTAATAATTTCTTTTATTTATCATTAAAATATTTACAATACGATACCAAGCATGTATAATGCCAAAATTATTTCATTTTTACTTAAATGCTTTATATTTATTATAGTTGGAATATTTCTGAAATGCCACATAACAATTTTATAGAACTGTTTTTAAAAATAATAATACCATATAATGTTTCGTGATATTATTTTTATTATACTACACGCGATAAATTAATACAATAATGACCCCTATATTAAAAAATAATAAATGATATTTGAAATGTAAAAAATATTTTTATTTGAAAAGATACATGATTTGTAGTATTATTTTAGCTTACATATTTTATGTCACTTTTAATTCTAACTAAACTACGTTATATATAAAATTATATCTATGCATCAGTTTTTACCCTCCAAGCATTTTAAATCGCACGTATAATATTACAAACTCATCTTCAGAATCTACTGTACACTAAGATTTTTTAGAACGGGATATAATGTTGTGGTATAACTCTTATTATACATAAAAATTCTTTGGCAAAAATAAAAATTTTTAAAAAAGACTGTGTCCTGAATATTTATCACCCATGATATGTAGAACAGTCGACTAACTTCCTTCAAGAATTCATAAAAATTCTTAATGAAACACATCAACACATTTATAATTTAAATTTTAATTAATAATATTTAAATTTGAATATTTTGCTCTTTATATCTAAAGTTATTCATACACAATCATTAAATGATTTATGTTCATGTAAATAAATGATTCTTATGCAACTATCATAAGAAAATCTGGTACTTATATCAATGTCATGATATTTGAATTATTAGACTATAAATAAACAATTTTAATTACAATTCATAATTACAATTATCATAAGCATATCTTTTGTTGCAGAAGAATTCCTTATGACAAAACAAGCATTCAAATAAATGACCAGTACGACTGGATTCTGGATAATTGGATTCTGCAGTTCGTTCACTCCAGCTCCAGGAAAGAAGTTCTCACAATTCGAGGATTCTCGACGCTCTGGATCTATCACAGTCAGGACATAATAAGTTGTAAATGTTTCTTCTTCGATATTGATGTAATTCAAAATAATTCTTCTTAACCTCCAATTTTTCATTACAATTACTTCGAAATGTCTCCTGAGAACTAGATGGTCTACTTCGTCACATATAAAATTTGATGTGCCTCCGGCCTATGAACTTATGTACTAAGGGGCTGTTTGATTCGTAGCCTGTAGCTCTGTAGGGCGGTGCCACGGAAAATTCGCCCTGTAGTCTCGTAAGCGTGGATTTAAACAGGCAGCGAACACCTTTGATTACATCATTGAATAATTGTTGTATTAACATTTTTTTTGTGGATGGGGAACGAAAATAAATATGCAAACAGTAGATAAGTACACGTTCTAATTATTTTATAACATGGTGTAACTTAGATATTCAAAGCATTCAAATAAATGACCATTACGACGCTGCGGTGGATTCTGCAGTTCGTTCACTCCAGCTCCAGGAAAGAAGTTCTCACGATTCGAGGATTCTCTGCGCTCTGGCACCATTTGTTTGAAGTCATCTACAGGTTTGTTGCGTAACCCAGTCATCTGCGTCACCAGATCCAATTTTTGGTACGCTCTGGACTCTCTAGCTCTATCGCAATCAGGACATAATAAGTTGTAAATGTTTCTTCTTGGATATTGATGTAATTTAAAAGAATTCTCCTTAACCGCCAATTTTTCATTACAATTACTTCGAAATGTCTCCTGAGAACTAGATGGCCTTGCTAAAGATCCATTAAGCCTAATTTTGTTAAGGATCCCACGCGTTCTACTCGAGGATTCATTATGGTTTTCTGTTTCTCGTGTATTTCTTGTACCGACAACTTCGGCATTCGTCATATCTTTTTCCATATTGCCTGCTGCATGGATTTTGGACTGCTGGGAGACATCTGATGAACATTGATCATTTTGCTGTTGATGATTGCAAATCCAACAAAGACAGTTTGTATCGGCTGGCGATTCAGAAAAAAAACATTATCTTGCATTTAGCACACTCCACGGAATAAACTGTCCACTACTACTATTTTCAGTGAACAATAGAAGCTATGGATTATTTCATTTTTTTTTTTTTTCTTGGGTGTTTAATTCCACTTTCGGTTTAATCTGGCGATTTTATTCGCTCAAAATAAACCTTTAAGAAAAAAAAAATATGCTTTTCATTTATTTATTTATAATATAGAGTTATCAATTATGAGAAAGCATAACTAAATCTGAGGATATATCTAGATTTCTACCAGTAGTTTAAAAAAATACTTCCATATTAATGTACTTTTATAACGAAAGCATACCAGCGTTTTCCATCATTAGGGTGTCAATCAAAGAAAAGGACACAAAAATTCAACAAAATTAATCGGTTTCCATTAATAAATATTCTAAAATAATAAACCATTTTTCTAAAAACACTCTATTTTTTAAACAAAATATAAATGTATAAAATGAACAAGGTCCATCAACTGCCCGAGGGCTTTTTAAGGATTGGAGATAGGTAAGAGACCCTTAATAAGTGTAACATTTGTGGTACAAGGCCTTGTAACTTTCCTTGAACGGGGAGGGACGGTTCTGCTGGTTATTTATTATTTACAATATTTACACCATATCGAATGTATACAGTCCAGACTACATCCTTCTGCGAACATGTCCACCAAAGGGAGTTTACCTTGCCAAATCCCAGGTCAAATATAAAATTTGATGTTCCTCCGGCCTATGAACTTATGTACCAAGGGGTTGTTTGATTCTTAGCCCTCTGTAGGGTGGTGCCACGGAAAATTCGCCGAAGAAAAAAGTTCTGGAAGCCCTGTAATCTCGTAAGCGTGGATTTAAACAGGTAGCGAACACCTTTGATTACATCATTGAATAATTGCTGTATTAACATTTTTTTTGTGGATGGGGAACGAAAATAAATATGGAAACAGTAGATAAGTACACCTTCTAATCATTTTATAACATGGTGTAACTTAGATATTCAAACCATTCAAATAAATGACCATTACGACGCTGCGTTGGATTCTGCAGTTCGTTCATTCCAGTTCCAGCTCCCGGAAAGAAGTTCTCACGATTCGAGGATTCTCTGCGCTCTGGCACCATTTGTTTGAAGTCATCTACAGGTTTGTTGCGTAACCCAGTCATCTGCGACACCAGATCCAATTTTTGATACGGTCTGGACTCTCTAGCTCTATCGCAATCAGGACATAATAAGTTGTAAATGTTTCTTCTTGGATATTGATGTAATTTAAAAGAATTCTCCTTAACCACCAATTTTTCATTACAATTACTTCGAAATGTTTCCTGAGAACTAGATGGCCTTGCCAAAGATCCATTAAGCCTAATTTTGTTAAGGATCCCACGCGTTCTACTCGAGGATTCATTATGGTTTTCTGTTTCTCGTGTATTTCTTGTACCGACAACAGCATTCGTCATATCTTCTTCCATATTACCTGCTGCATGAATTTTGGGCTGCTGGGAGACATCTGATGAACATTGATCATTTTGCTGCTGATGATTGCAAATCCAACAAAGACAATTTGTATCGGCTGACGATTCAGAAGAAAACATTATCTTTTATTTAGCACACTCCACGGAATAAACTCTCCACTTCGACTATTTTCAGTAAACAATGGAAGTTATGGATTATTTCATTTTTTTTTTTTTTTGGGGTGTTTAATTCCACTTTCGGTTTAATCTGGCGATTTTATTCGTTCAAAATAAACCTTTAAGAAAAAAAAAATGCTTTTTATTTATTTATTTATAATATAGAGTTATCAATTATGAGAAAGCATAACTAAATCTGAGGATATATCTAGATTTATACCAGTAGTTTAAAAAAATACTTCCATATTAATGTATTTTTATAACGAAAGCATACCAGCATTTTCCATCATTAGGGTGTCAATCAAAGAAAAGGACACAAAAATTCAACAAAATTAATCTTTTTCCATTAATAAATATTCTAAAATAATGACCCATTTTTCTAAAAACGCTATTTTTTAAACAAAATACAAATATATATAAAGGACGAGGTCCATCAACTGCCCGTGGGCTTTTTAAGGATTGGAGATAGGTAAGGGACCCTTAATAAGGATAACATTTGTGGTACAAGGCCTTGTAACTTTCGTTGGACGGGGAGGGACGGTTCTGCTGGTTATTTATTATTTACAATATTTACACCATATCGAATGTATACAGTCCAGACTACATCCTTCTGCGAACATGTCCACCAAAGGGAGTTTACCTTGTCAAATCCCAGGTCAAATATAAAATTTGATGTGCCTTCGGCCTATGAACTTATGTACCAAGGGGTTGTTTGATTCTTAGCCCTCTGTAGGGTGGTGCCACGGAAAATTCGCCGAAGAATAAAGTTCTGGAAGCCCTGTAGTCTCGTAAGCGTGGATTTATTTAGGTAGCGAACACCTTTGATTACATCATTGAATAATTGTTGTATTAACATTTTTTTGTGGATGGGAAACGAAAATAAATATGGAAACAGTAGATAAGTACACCTTCTAATCATTTTATAACATGGTGTAACTTAGATATTCAAAGCATTCAAATAAATGACCATTACGACGCTGCGGTGGATTCTGCAGTTCGTTCATTCCAGTTCCAGCTCCCGGAAAGAAGTTCTCACGATTCGAGGATTCTCTGCGCTCTGGAACCATCTGTTTGAAGTCATCAACAGGTTTGATGCGTAACCCAGTCATCTGCGACACCAGATCCAATTTTTGGTACGCTCTGAACTCTCTAGCTCTATCGCAATCAGGACATAATAAGTTGTAAATGTTTCTTCTTGGATATTGATGTAATTTAAAAGAATTCTCCTTAACCGTCAATTTTTCATTACAATTACTTTGAAATGTCTCCTGAGAACTAGATGGCCTTGCCAAAGATCCATTAAACCTAATTTTGTTAAGGATCCCACCCGTTCTACTCGAGGATTCTTTGTGGTTTTCTGTTTCTCGTGTATTTCTTGTACCGACAACTTCGGCATTCGTCCTATCTTCTTCCATATTGCACTGTTTTTTTTTATTACATTTATTGTTGTAGTCCATGGTACAGACACCTTTTTTTATCAAATTATCAACATCCGCCTGAAACTTCGTAGATAGCTTCTTCTCATCGTAATATACAAATATTTTATTAACGAAAATTCTGGGAATAGTAGCATATTCAATCTGGAGATCGCCAAAATTTTTCTATTTAATTAGCTACTAAACACTCATAAATATTCAATCGCTCTCCACTTGAATCATAAGATAATTAGAGCACAAAAACGAGGAAATAATGGCCTTAGTGCAGCAGCATTAAGCATAATACTTAATTATTTATATATTTAATGAAGTGTTTCATAAGTTTGTCATGGAGTTCAATTAATCATTCATATGTTTAAAATGACACAATTTCAAATAAGCATAGAGAGTATTGAGAAATTCTGTTTCTAAAGGAGATTGGGGGTATTTCAGGTATATTCGGTTCCAAAATAAATAGTTCACAGTTTGTTAGTGGTTTACAGTCCGTCATAGCGGCTAAGGTTACTTACATTATTTAACTTTCTTTAATTCAAAGTTCGATGCATCGTCAGGAGTTATAGGTAAAAAAACTAAAAAATGTTGAACAAATCTGCTTTTTTGGCTGAAAAAAGTTTTCCATTGGTGGCCCTTGTTAGCAATTTTGGTTTTTATATGTCTTAGCCCATATATACAAGTTAAAAATAAAAGCTTTTTTCACATTTTTCGCAATGGATTTTTCGTTTCGATCCTCAAATTACTGGCCTTATATTCCCTAAATTAGCCGCCATTTTTTAAAGCAGCGGCTCTGGAACGGCAGAAAAGGTTCACTGAATAGATATATGCATCGTCACTTGAAGAGTCTGTAAGACAAACTATTTGGCCTCAGGAGATGTGAACATATCTAAGTATGCTTGCGATTATTGCAAATTATGGAAGGCTTTCAAGGGCGAAACCAAAGCTATGAGGGAATTACTCCACTGGAGAACCATGTCAAGTGTTCCCTAGTTGGTTGTTCTTGATAAAAGGTCGGCATTCCACATGTTAAATGTACTTTAAAGAATATCACAACAAATGTGTGGTATTGCCGAAACTTCCAATTTTGTCGTTTCGTTGTTCGGATTGCAAGGGTAATGAAAAAGTTGTAAGGAGAAGGCTTCTGATTTCTTTTGAAACTTTAACCAGAACCCTCTCCGACATCCGATATAGTCGTGGCAAAAGAGGTCCAAGAAACGAAAGCGACAACAGTTGTAGATATTGTAAACAGGTTTTTAATTTTGAATAGCTCGATAGGACCAAATGCAAAATATGCAGGGTAAAAAAAGTGCAATTGTTATGCATGTGTATACTTTAGTCGTATTAGTTTTTAGTAGTGTGTAAATTAGAAAAAATATTGTATCGTGCATATTGTTCCTAATATTGTTAAATTAGAAATACTCCAAAATGTTCTAAATATTATATATAAAATATGTTTTCATGTTCAATTAAAAAAAAAAAAATAGATTTTGTCATTTTCTGATAAATTTTAATTATTTTTCCTTTTTACAATGTTAATTTTAATTATTAAAGTTGTTTAATAAAAAATTATATTTATAAATTATTAAACAAAGTTTATAATTATATGTCTCAATAAGAGGTTTTATTTTTTTATTATTTCTTAATGATATTTACAACTGTATTACAAAAATACATCTAGTAAATTTTAATATATATGGATTTAATGACGTAATGCACTTGCAGAGTAACTACCCAATGGTAGCACTCTAATGATATATCTACTCTAATGATATTAGGAGATCACGGCGCCATCTTCTTTTCAGACGTCTCAGAGGGTTATTAGGAATTGAAGAGGAAGCAAGATTAAAAAGGAGGGTTGGGATGATTCTGAAGTTTATTGTGGAGGGATAGGTATCTGGATGGGGCCAGATCTGAAACATACAAAACATTAAGGTCATTATGGATGATTTTGTTTGTAATAAAGTAGGGAGCATTGAGGATTTCACGAAGGATTTCGGATTGGATACGGAAGGAATTTGTTGGTTTAGTGGAGCCCCCTAGCTCAATTTTGTAAGTCCAAACAGGCCTTATTGTAGTCATGTATATCAGTCTTTTGTTATTAATTGGAAGTTTATAGCGTCTGTCAAGTAAGTGCTGAAGTAATGGGAAACGTAGTGCTGTTTCTTGTCCTTCCAGTCTAGTATGACGACAATAAGATGTAAAGTTTGAATAGAAAAGCATAAAAATTAATTTTACCTTAAATGGTGGTATTAATTTAATTTAACAATATAATTAATATTTTTACTTTCACTTAGCTATACAGGGTGTCCCGTAAGTAAAGGTAATTTTCTATAGGAAGGAATACAAATAAAATATTTGTTCTAAGAAATATTCCATTTAAGTAATTAAATTTTTTTTTTACTGTTAACTAGATAAAATCTATTTTTAATGAAAATTGAGCATGTAATTGTTTTTTTCTTTTTTTGTCTATAAAAGATATATTTGGGCCTGTCAACTTATTGTTGACAATTAGCAAATGTGATGGCGATACATAAAATAATGACATGACAGGCAGGGGAAGGAAAGTACTCAGTATTACCACTTCCCTAACTTGTTCCAATGACTTAAGTTGTTTAAGGAAGGAGATCTCTCATCCAACGCCTTTTTAGTCTCCTCCTCATGTTCTGAGGTATGTCAGTCTGAGGCCATGTCTCTTATTATCTGTTATTGTGTCCATTTAAATTTGTGCAAAATCGTTGTTAAAGAGCCGTTATATCTTGGTCAATTGTTGGAAAGTGGAGGTCAGTATATAGAGTTTTGTTAGTCACGTACTAAGGTGCTTTTGTTATGAGTCGCAATAATTTTGATTGGATCGTTTGAAGTTTTTGTAGGTGGGTCTTTTTAGCGATGCCATTTATTTGTGATAAGTACGTCACTATGGGCTCAAGTAAGTATGTATACGTGTTCAGTTTCTGTTTTTGTTTTAGTTTTGAAGATTTAGAAGAAGGAGAGCAAAGTAGTTTGAGTCGTTCGTTAAATGTCTTACGTTTAATTTTAACATGCGGACTCCATGTCATCCTTCTGTGGAAGGTGAGTCCAAGGTAAAGTACCGTGTAAAACTGGAGGGGTCAATATAATTGTTAAAACCATTTAAAGAGTACTTTTGAGCGGCTAAACTAAGCTAAGTTCTGTTAAAAAGAACTTAACATAAATTTTTCGCGATTTTATTTTAACATCATCCAACTATACTACAAATATTCCACTTTAAGAAAAACTTCTCCGTTTGATAAGAGTTAAATCTATATTAATTAAGTTGAGGTTTATTAGGGATAACTTGAGATTCACCTCAAATTGTGTGAAAAAGTTATGTGATTTTTTTATCATCATCCGATTATACTGCAGGTACCCCAAGTTTAGAAAAACTTCTTCATTAATTAAGCCCATATTTATTGACTTGAAGTTTATTGCGGAAAAACTTGAGATTAACCTCAACGTATGTAAAAAATGATGTGATTCTATATCGTGTCACCTAAAACTACCCGTTTTTAGAAAAAATGACAATTAATTGTTGCAAAGCTTTTATTTCTTGTTTTGCTATTATATGAAATATATTTTAATAATCACAATTGCCAAAATACACTTATATATTTATAATTTTTTTTTTTTTTTTGTTAAGAACCATATTTTTCAGGTAAAATGGTTAAGTAAATTTTATGTTATTTGGAATGAAGCATTTGTTAATTACTTAAATTAAATGTTTCTTTAGCTTTAGCTTCCTATTCAACAAAAAATACGCCTTACCTAAAAATACAGAAAACATAAATTTACTACGTTTCTGATGAAAATTGGCCCATTATCTCTAGAAAAAATGACGAATTTTCAAAATTTCTTCTTCAAAAATACCTTACGTTTTATTCGTTTTAAAAAATTAACTATTTCACAAATGAAAAATTGATCACGCACTTAAGAAGAAATAAGAGATGGCATTGAGGAAGCGAAAATTGCCAGCGACTCGTGGGCACTCGGTACACAAGGGTGTTAATATAAAGCCGAGAACTGACGAAGATACCCGAGCGCGCCCTCAAACTTTTTAAACGAGCGTATTCGGATTTAATTGTATAGGTTACGGAAAAACAAAGATTAAAATTTGTATTTAAACCAAAAAAAAGTACCCATTTTTTTTTCCCCTAGCCCCCAGGAATTTATTTTCTACACAAAATGCGATATATAAATGCATAATGAAATATATATACAAAAAAGTTCTAATTTCCTTTCATTTTCCAAGGACATTTTAATGTAAATATGTACGCTGTAGGCGAAAAAAAAAAAAAAAAAAAGAAGTAACCATAATGAAATTTAAATTAATTTAGCTAGGACTCACTGCCTTGTCGGATTAAAAAAAAAAAAAATGTTGCAAATTATTTCTCAATGGTTTATTATTTCCAAACAATTATATATCTAAAGTACCATTACCTTCCTAGTTCCAAAGAAAAATAAATAAAAGGTGATTCAAATTATTGTGCTAAACTTTTTTTTTATTCTTTATTAATATGCTAGAAAAGTTAACATTACTTCTACAACACATTCAAAATTCAAAAACCAAAACAAAGGATATAACCTTTACAGTAGAACATAAAAAAAAAAAAAAAAAACTAGAGACCATATCTTTATTCCTAATTGTCTAATTTTAACGAATTATT